AACATTTAAGTACCTCGTCTTATCAAACCTATGTATTCATCAAGATGAGACTGTTCCTTGACGAAGTGTGATGCTTTACACACCTCTGTAACCGAACTGTTTGACTTTTGTTAAGCCGAAGATCTAACCATGCTTGAAAGGTTGAAGGGTATAGAGGTTAGATAAAGTTCAATTTCTTGGTCGTCCAGGTTGTGGATTCAACTCGAATTGGCGTTTCAGTTGGTGGGAGCTAATGGAGGAATGATCGATCCCAGTAAAAATGGGCCTACACTTCGCTCCACCCCTCGCCTTGCGGTTAGGTTCTTGTCAGAGCTAATGGCTTTAGTTGAGAACCCTAATTGTTCTTGCGCTTAGTGGCTGAGCACCCTAGCTGTACCCATCCACCAAACTCTGATGGTTTGCAGTGAGCAGTGAAGTTCGTTTCACTGTATTTTGCTGTACTATGATGATGATGATGATGATGAACTGCTTGAGCTGAATAGCAGCTTGATATGATGCTTTCTGTGCACCCCTTTTCTCTCATACTGCTTCCGTTCTGATTTTCACGATATACCTATCCTCATGTGTTCCTCTGCACGTGTTTTGTTTGTGCTTGTTTATGGACGCAATGCGAACCACTTGAACTTGTGCACTTTCAGTTGGAGGACCGGGTGTTTTGAATGCTTGCCAGTCACGGTCTATCAATCGCAGTTCTTCGTCAACAGTGAGAGGAGACGACGGTTCAATCTTCTCTCATCTATTTTGTCAGTCTTTGCGTTTCTATCTGCTCTGAGCACACACACATTGTGGAAACTGTTATCCACCTTTTGTTCTTATTTGGTACGTCTTGAAATTGTTTTTTTTTACGGTGCAACAGCTTTTTACTTGTTTACGATGTGTGTGCCAGGATTCTCATAATTCCGTTGGTCACATCTCATTCACCTGTCCGTGTCACCTGATCAAGGTGACTCGTCATTCCACTGAAGTCATGAGTTAGTTCGTTAACACGGAGACTGTAAAAGCACTTCTTAATGTGTAGTGTTGTTCGGTCGCTAAGTTGTCAAGGCAAAAGGTTGAAGGCCACTGTGTGAACGATCTACAGCATCTGAGCGGAATACAATCGGATGCGAGTAGCTTAGGTGTGCAAGCGTGAGATACTCATACTCAGACAGCTGATAGCTGAATTCCACAGCATGCGCACGCACACCGAAAGTAGGCAGGTGAATGGGGAAGAATTCCATACCGGGGACGACAGTACATTGTTTGGCATATAAGATTTCTCATGCGCTAGTTACACTATGCCATCGATCTATTCAAAAAGACCAATGCGTTTTCTACCTGCAGGTTTATCTTTGTGGTACAAATCAACAGAGCAGTGAATGAGGGCATTTGTGTCTTTATCCATCAAAAACTGATCTCTCTCCTCTGATGGCATTATGTATGTCCTATCCCCAGTTGGTTCGATTGATTCGCACTGCTGATGAGACTCAACCAGGTCGAAACAGCTGTCCAGTGCTTCCTAGCTTTTCAGTTCACGCTTCATTTGCTATATACACGACTAATTTTACCTTCGAAATTATGTAATATAGTCTCAGTTTTCACAATCATTAACCATGCAGTTTCGTGCGCCGGTTTTGGTTACTGTCTCCTGACTTCCCATTTAGTTGAAGGACTATTGTAGATCAAGTACCTTCACTATGCAGTGTTTCATTATGATCGCGGAATGTTGTCTGGCCTACAGGTGACTTGAACACAAACGGAACGGACGGACATACGGTCAGTCAAGTCGGTCCCTTAAAAGTTCGATCCACCGGGAAATGCAGTGTAAAGTTGCCTGTACCACAGGTTTTTTTACACACAGTTTGGGTTCAGATTAGTGTAATCCTATTGCCCTTTCCTAATAGACGATGTGGGATGATAAGAGGAAAAATTCATTACCAATCACGAGCTAAGTAGATCAGTGTCAACAGTCAACGGTAGTGACTATGTCTGAAACTTCGCCTGCTTTACCATGTATACTGTTCCACGTTCGTCAGTACTAAATTGATTATTTGTTTGATATTCGAAACAGAGGTTTCTGATGAACACTCTACTCAAGGTGTAACCGTAGCGTACGTTTACCAAAATTGTTACCGATGTGAGCCATGCATACACACACACACACACACAAATACGTATACAAGCTAAGCGAATAGAGTGTGGTGGGAAATTGAGTCACATTATCTGGCAGTTCACTATGAAACAGCTCCCAGTCAGTGACAAAGTTCATTCCAGAGGACGAACCGACAAATAACGATGTGTAAATAACTTTTGATTTGACAATCGCGATGCACGAGATTAACTTCTTCATTCAGTTATCACGGGATCAAGAGATGATGAGTACATCACTTGCTTTGCGAACTACTAAGAACTGCGTGAATGCTTCTAAAAGGTTTCTGTTGTCGACTACCCATATTAGTAAATAGTATTTACCAAAGCAGTGTTGTTCCTAAGCTCGTTGTAACGAGCTGTCTATAGCAATGCGCGTTTTGATTGGATCTTATGCGCTGGGGCAACAAACGTGATTCTAGTTGGCATGCACGATTACTCTATTTCAGATAGACAAATATTCACTGTATTTACCTCCGTTTGTTGGGATTCAGGCTAAAAGTTTACCTGTATGATGAGGTTTTGTTTCCCTTAGTCCAAGCATCATTCGTTCTCAATTAATTACTGTCGTTTCTCGTACACGGCCGGTTTTCGCTCTAGTGTATACACATAAAAATATGTGTGTGGAAAGAGCATAAAAACTGATAATATCCTGTATTCCACATCTTTGAATCGTCATCTTCAGTTCAAGCAACAAGCCGCACCTATGGTATTTCTTTATTGGCATAGATTCCTTTTTTTCTGGAGACATGTATTCTGTCAGATATTCACGAGCGCAACGGCTTCCATCTGTTTTTCTTCCCTTCCCGCCCGCTTGCTTGTCTCCATCTGTTCTATTACTGGTTCGGGAATAACCTGAAAAACGTACAACATCCCGGCAGGACGCATTTAGTTCGCTTTAGAGTGACCCTGAGCTAGATTGTAGCCATGCGGATTCACTCGTTCCGTTTCACAATTGGGTTGTCCGGCCAGTAGGACAACAACAACAACAACCATCGTCACGAGTAATCCATGAAACATGAACTGTAAATTTGGCATCTGCGGGGGAAACAATGTCATCTCTCTCTCTAACTACTTAGATCTCTGTTTGTCTCTCAAATATGCACTTCTGCTTATTTTCAATCTGTTTTTGCAAATCTTCATTCTCACCATTTGTGAGGGATTTAAAAAATGCTTATTATGGTGAATAGTAGGGTGTTCCTTCAGCATTGGGAACTGACAGAGTGGCTCATGGGACGTAGAATAGGAAACCGCATACATTCCCAGTATCCATGCGAAGGTTCGAACCTTGAACCTTTAAAGCCCGGAGCACATCAATCATGGTGAATTTCACCGCCTTGTTGAACGGAAACGAAAACCAACACCGCCGCTCTATGTTGTATTTAAAAAATTCCGACAAAACCTCATTATCACAACACTAGTTTTTATCACATTTGTTGGGTTCGCATTCATTCGCTGTATTTCCACCGT